TGCAATTTAAAATTTCAGTCCTCCTTAGGGATTGGGAAAGATGGATGTAGTTTCATTCCATCTTTTAAACAGCAGGTATGAGAGAATACAACAGCACAGGAAGATTTTTTACCCCATGCTCATAGCTGGATACAAAATTTACAACTCCACTATGGAGTTCTGTCACTTATTATGAAAATGTTAAAATAATATGATTTTGCCTTTGGGTTATACTGAGCTGTATTTGGGTAATATCTTCTTTCTGTCTCCCTACTTAGTCCCTTTCTTAGCGGGAATTAGAAAAAAAATGGATTTGCCTGAGAAGAAGGCTGGTAATCAGAACTAAGGTAATTACGCGACCAAATGTCATACTTCACTCTCAGGAGGTTCAGGGTTTACCTTTGCCCCGACGCAGAACTGGCTAGATAGGTTCTGAGGTCTATTGCCCTTTCCTTTTATCTCTAGCAGCATAGTTGAGAACAAGGAGAAGCTGTGCTCTGGAGAGATAATGGTAGATCTCTTTCATAGATGGTAAGCTTATATAAGATCGGAAAAACTGGGAGTTGGCCAAAAGTTTTCCCCACTCTGAAAAGCATATTGGCGGGTTGTGCCTTCATCTGCTGAATGATGATGGTTCACGTGATGCATTTGTTGAACAAAGAACCACGAAAGACTTCTTGGGTCACTGACGCCGGTTCTCTGCCACTATGGCAATCTGGTCATACAATCCCACTGAGTAATTTAGCAAACTGCAACATAAAAACTAGGTAGGTTTATGCCTTCGTTTTAACTAATTAATTGCTTGTGAGTGAAGAAGCCTCAGACAACAACAATGCCTTGCTCTCTTCTGTTCTGGGAGGGTTACTTATACATTAGCCTCTTGATGAAATAAAGGTTTGATTTTGGGGATTTCAAATCGGAGTTCAAACTGCTGTGTATGGATTGCTAGCTGTACATGGTCCACTACAAAAAGATATTCAAGTATGAAATGGTGATAGAGCATGTTCCTGACTTTCTGTCAGACCATCTTTACCCTCTCCGTCTTTCACCTTCTTGTGTCCCCAGGGTTTACTATTACCATGGGGTTTAGCTGGACCCTCACAGACTTCATAAAGCTGACCCTCTGCGCCGTACTCTCTAACTATTAAGAGGATGCAAGAGCACAGTGCAGAGATGATAAAAATGGCTTTTATCCATACAAATTATCACTGTTGCTTCCAGCAGTACCCACTGCCCCTCTAAAAATTAAGAAAGTACTTGAGTAACACAGACTTGGCTCAGATGATTAGATTTTTCCAATAGTCTCTGTGGCCTTAAGTTCAACTGGTGTTGAAATGCATTCACATAAAATGTGTATACCTGTGTACCCTTTTCTAATTCCCTCCCCCTCACTTTCCCTCACATATATTCATACACAAACACAGTCTTCAATATCACAGATGTCATGAAAAGGAAGAGTAATATGAAAACCTCTTGCTGGCGGGAGGGGAGGGATCTCCTCTCTGCCTCCTCCTATGTCTTTTAGTCACCATTCATTAGACTCTATAAGCCTTCCACGTTAAGAAAATTTTACAGTTTCACAGTTTTGAGTTGAATACTGGACCTAAAAATTGTATATATGTCCCTGTAAATACAAAGTATTTTCAGTGTCTACACTGAGACATTATCTACCCAGTCATGTAATGGTACAAATTTAGCAATGAGGGACCTTCTTTTTGTGTTCTGTTCTTAGGATTTTATATCTTCCAAAAATATTGAGTATCTGAAATTTTAATGCATTTTCTGTCCAGGATTCTCCTGAAAAATCTGGAAAAGAAGTCAGGAGAATCTAATATGCTCCTGGAAACCAAAGACTTTCCTTTTGTGATGACTCACTACAGCCATATTTCTTTGCAGTCATAGCAGGTATATCATATTCGAAAATGTATTCTGATAGAACTGGATAGGCTGGAAGTGGGCTATTTAGTTCTTCTAGTGGAGATTGGGATCTGCAGCAGGTAAATAGCAGAAGTCTGCAGTTTGGGCTTGCTGCAGATTCAAGTGAATCGTTAAAGACAGTATTCTCTGATGATAGTTTCTCTGTCCTTTTTCACATTATTAGTAGCTTTAAAAATGGATAGTTTGATGGGAGGCAGGAACATTTTTCATCACTGCTCAAAGAAAAAAAAAATTCCTGAGTTTTTCTTCATGCATCCGGAGAGCTGTAAAACTAACCAAAGACAAATATGAGGCTGCTGAAATATGAAACAATTAAAGGAAATCCCAGCCTAAATCATAATCTCCAGATGGAAAGTGTTGAACAAAGTTTCACTGCATGCTCATTCTACTCTTTTTCATTTTCTCTTTTCAGTGAACTGTGTTTACTTTTGAACTAAAGGATTTTGTGTATTCACTCAGTAGAATTCAGCATATATACCTATGATTTCTCAAGAAGTGCCAGTAGGAGTAAGCAACTGAAAAACGAAAAGTAGTTTTCAGCAAGTTAATCTAAAATTCTGATACACTGTTAATTTTTAAATTCGGATACGCTGTTAATTTTTTGCTTCTAGTCACACTGGTAAGACCCTTCCGTTAGGCACCGATTGGCAATAAAAAAGATCTGCATTCAATTTGTAGGGTTTACTGATAATACTTGAACATCATCCCTGTGAGTCTTGGACCAAAAAGTAGTTTCAGCTAAATCAGTCTCTACACACCCAGTAAACAGTAGCTCTCCACTACAAGTGTTTTGTTACACAAAACGTATCTAGCCAATCAGGGCTTTACATGGAGTGAAAAGAAAAATAAAAGATCCATAATATATCCACTAGGAAAGCATAAATGCTTCACAGAAAGCACTTGCTGCCCCCACAGCAGACTGGCAATAGTGCTGACTAAGTCCTTCCCCCACAGCTGTGCACAGTTGAGGAAGTAGCAGCTGCTTCTGCACTGCTCGTGGGGTTACATTTCTGCAGGGTTTGCACAGAGCCCTGCTACAGACGGAAGATCCCTGAAGGATTCAGAAACCTCTTGGGACTGTCTTTGCTTTTCATTTCCTCGTACAAGGTCTGCAAGCCAAAGCATGCCCTTAGGGTGATTCTTCACCTGCTAGAATTGCCTTGTGTGTGTACAGTTTGGTTGTCCATGACTTTTCTAATTCTTTCTTCAGGACTGAAGGCTCGCACAGTTGTAAATTCAAAGCACCTCTCCTCATTTAACTGATAATTCCATAAAGTTTAAGGATGGCATTCAGGTCTTCTTTTCAAGGGGTGAAAGACTCTGTTCATTTCATTGGAACTGAACTCAGTCGAATCAGAAGTGTATTTGTCAGCTTGGTTTATATATTTACTTGCTGCAGCAAGTTGAGATATAGTCCAGATAACTCTTTCAGTGGTGCAGCTTCTCTGATATTCTGCTGGTAACAGTTTCCTGTATCAGATATTATGCTGGAAAAGACGGTACTCTCATCTTGGAATAACCTCTCTGAAGAGGAAGTGTCATTCTTCTTCTCACTGCTGTTGACTTTCCCGCAAAACGTGAAGGATGATATTTCATACACATTTTGATACTATAGCTGATATAATTATCCATATGAGTGTACATGTCTAGGCCATTTTTCAACTTGAATAAGGTCAGTATTTAATTCTGTTTATCAGTGATCATCTCAATAGATGCATTCATTAAACTAAAAATACTTAATTTTCTCATTTTATAGTTTGTAATAATTCCATTTTGTTGCATGTCAATGTGCTCTTACAGCATGAAACTGACATTCATCATGGAATTCTTCAATACACATTTTCTCATCGTGTGCTCTTTTATTTGTGTTCCCGCTAAATTAAATAATCCTGACATTTTTTATCAGGTTGTATCTTGTTCACAGACATCTGAAAATCAGTCTTTTTTATTTAGGTGTGCAAATCAGTATTTGGATATGTCAATTTTAAGCATCAGCTTTGAAAGCCATCAGTCTTCCATTATCAGTGTACCTTTCTTCAGCAAGTTTTAAATCTATTTACTGCAAAAATTTAGACTCAACATGAAGATTATGCCAGATCCAAATCTTAAAATCAGAATATTTCTAACTTGTGGAATTCCTAATATTCATGGTGAAAAGTAGATGTAGTTGATTCTATTTCTTAATAACAGGCAAAACAAAGCCTTATAGAACTCTTCAGAGAAAAGAGGCTTTACATTCACAGCAAAACGTTGCTGTTTATGAATATCTATTATCAGTAATATATTTAGAACAAAGATATTTAAAATCAGGTCTTGCAGAATTTTTTGCGTTAACAAAAAGCACGTGTGTTATTGATTCTTGTGCATTCTCTATTAATTCTGGGTGCGTATCATTAAAGATCTTGGCTATTTTATTTTGTAGGAGTGTTATTATTACTATTTATTATATTTAGCAGCAGTACTTACAAATTGCAACTGGGAATTAACACTCCGTTGTATTAAACCTGTTCAAACAATTAGCTCAAAGCCTGTGTATGTTCCAGGGTACTCATAATTTAGAATGGGGTGTGGAATTGGCAGAAGAAATTTGAAGTACACCTATTAAAAATATTAACACCAACAGTTATATGGTCAGGCCTCGCTAGCTCCCCATACTTTCTGAGGAACAACAGGGAATGCATAACAACGTTCATACCCTAAATTAATACACTAATGAAATGGTGTTTGTGAAAAGCCTGATTACACATTGCTTCCTTATTAAGAATTCCCCCTGAAAGCATGTACTTCTGAATGTTTAAGGAAGGTCTTAGCCATAGCGATTTGTTAAAGAAAAGAGAAACGAGTTTTCATCTCTCTGTCTCTGAACACTTGGGATTCAAAAAGTTTCAGAGAAGGAGGAGATTTGGTATTGTTCTAAGTCAATTCGCTCTGGCTAAGGAAATGACGAGAAGGAAACTATTCCTCTCTCTCAGGAACCATGTGGTGTTCCAAGATAAGGCAAACACTTGCTAATTTGAGTCCACGAGCAGGAAATGTGATACATCCATTTCCTTTCAGGCAAACAAAATAGTCCTGTGGCGGCACAAAAGCGTTGCCTCTACTGCTAAATCTCAAACGTTCAGAAACCCATTGCTCCACTGTGGACACATCATTTTATATTTATCATTTGGATGTTATGGATAAAAACAGTACTTACTCTCCGATCACATGGCCACCAAAGTTTTGGGGTAAGGATTTTGTTTCTTTTTCTAGCATGTTGTTAATGTGAATGCTGAGATTCGCTGTTAATTGCCTTAAAAATTACATCTGAAAACTTTCAAGGCTTGTATTGGAAACAACAAGTAATGAATAGGTTGTTTCAATATTTCTTGAAGCTGAAAAGATTGTTTTCCAAACGTTTCTCTGACAAAGTTTTATCATGACTTTTAGCTAATCAAAATAGCAGGAACCCTGAGGACAGAATTGATTGTTTGACAAAGTCAATTACTGAAGTCAGTAAAGAGGTGTCTGTTGACTTCAGTACATTTCAGATCACGTTACATTATCTCAATCATTTAATAGATGTACTTACATGGCAGACATGGTTTGTTTCATCTTCTGATGAAAAAGAGATGGCAAAAAATAAAGGTGCTGGGTGTTTCAATCTTTGGAATAAACTTGTGTTCTTTCAGGATATAAAATGGTTAGTAATTTGTTGTGATGTCTCGCAATCAGCCTTTGCTTACATTTATCTCAGTGTGCATATTAATCATTACGCATTAAGGCCATTTTCCTTGACGTGATCCTGGGAGTGTTTGATTAACCGAAATGTATAGAGTAGGAGGTGGAAGTATATGTAATACTGAAATTCATTTGAAGTAGTTAGATTCAATGACTTGATCCTAAAAGGTTCTTTGCAACAGCTATGGCCTCCAAAAGGCTCTATCACTTGATATATTTAGTATTATGTGTGTATTATATGCTCTGTTTTTGGCTATTTTATTATTGTCATTGAGGAATGACCCCTTCAAGAATCTGTGTACTATCTAAGGCTGAAAAATTATATGTCCGAGCAAAATGGGACTTTTTGTTGCATAGAACTGCCCTGGGAAAAGAGTAAGAAATAACTATACAAGAAGACTTAAAGAAGTTCCTTCATTTCCTTAGTATAAGCCGCAAGAGTCTGTCGAAAGCCAGCCACTTGTTTCCTGCATTGACACGTATATTTTCCTACTGGGAAACCATGAGCAACTCACTTCACTTCTGTGTCTTGGGCTAGAAAGTGGGATAATGACACTGGACATCTTTGAGTAATACTTAGAGATTAACTGAGGAAAAAGTATTGTTATTAGTGTTTCAGAGTATGCGCTCGTGTTGTCTAGAGGCTGTGTTTTGGACTCTGAAGCAGAAATAACTATCATTTTTGTAGAGTGGAACTACATATAATTCTAAACTGGCTCTTTCAGAGCAAAAATGAAACAGTGCTTTCATAACCAGGTACTTTAAGAATCCTTGTATAAAAGGCACTACCTCTTGTTAATGTAGATCTGATTTTTTTCTGAGATAAATCATTCTTTCTCTAGGTGTGTCAAGACCTTGCCTTTTGAAATCAATAGCCATATTTCATAGCACAGGGCAGAATATGTGTGAGCTGTCGTATTGCTGAAATGGCCAGTATTACCTTCTACCAGCACTTCCTACCTGGCTTGCCAGGGAAAGATACTGTACACAGCTGTGACCACCTCCCAGTTGCCTACACTCTAACAGCAGATCAACTTCACAGCTTGGGTTTTTGTGAAGAGCTTACTTGGTCCTGGGAAGTGGAGATGCCTCTTTGGTTCTTATTCTTCTGATTGGTAGATTTTAGAAGAGCTAATAACATTTCTTCTTCCTTCCTCTAGATGTATCATATATGGTAGACTAGGGAGGAAACATCACACAGTCCATTATATGGTCAGCATCAGAAGACACTGCTATTTTTTTTTTTGATCTACATAAACTCACTGTGATGATATATCATTTGTAATGGTAGAAATGTATTTTTTGACATCCCTGGAAATACATGAACTGAAGCAGAAATAAAGCTACATGATAATAGATGTAAATAAAATATAGTTCTTTATTTAATGAGAATGCAATATTTGAAAATGATTTTTCGGGATAGGGTTGACAGTCTGTAGCACTGTGCTACGCTATGTAGCACTGTGAGTTTGAACACGTTATGAAGGTCCAGATCCTCTTCTAGTTTAGTTTCTATGCGTGTGTGACTTCTCAGTGGCTCCAAGGACACAACCAATCTACACATTCCAGCCTGTGTGTAAAGGTTTGCCGATCAGACACTGACTTTGTGAGAAAAAAAAATGCTGTAAAAATTGTTAGAATAACTATTCATAATGATCTTTAATCTCTTATAATGTTATAAACTACCTATTGTCTAGCAGCTCGTTCCCTCCTCTGGAAAATACGCAGGCATCCTGTTTTCTAAAGCTGACCAGTTTCCAATGGTAACTTAACACAACAGGATCTTAAAAGTAACTCTAAGAATTTTAAAACAATGAACAAACTAAATTATTTTATTATGTATATGTGAGCATGCACAATTCTTTTCACAACTACTTCAGGCGAGAGTATGATATTAGAAGTTCACATGAATAAAGCTGTGTAGATAAAAACAACATATACACACAACTCGATTTATGTTACGCTATGTGAATTATCTAGATGGTTTAAATTCTCTCTCTGTTCATGCCAAGACCTTAACAAAGCAAATAAATTAGCATACTTTTTTTGTAGGCTTAGTGCAGAGTCAAAGATTAGGCCTGGAAAATTAATAGCTCTCATTCCTAGTTGCAGATCCTGCAGGACGATGAGCTGATGCTGTACCTTCTCCTAATTCTTTGGAATTCAGGTTTCACTGTTAGTGTTCTGCAATTTTTCTAAAATGTTACATTATGCAGCAAAAGTAAAACAGTAGAAGCAAAACAGTAGTTTCACTAGTCTAACACCAATTCTGGGGTAAAAAATAAAAAAGGAATGTTAACCTCCTCTTCTAGTTTAAATCTGAGAGTCTCATGATAGAGCTCCTGGCTCCATCAGCAAATATCCTCTGGTGTAACATATAATGTGCAGCAAAGAGCACATCCCAGAGCTTACCCCAGGGGTTGTTGTGATCCCTGGAAATCTGGTTCTTGTTTTGCAAATAATAGTGGTTCCCTATGAAAGATGTATTAGGAGATTCTTTTTGGATGCACATGCCTGTTTCTGACAAGCTGGCTGAACTAATATGAGGACACAGGAACTCATCTCTTCTAGGTGCTGGCTTTTCTAAAGCCGTATAATCTCTGGTAACCCCTACTTTGCAAAGGAAATCCATAAGATGGTCCTTTGGCAGAGACAGGAAGAGTAACATCACGTGTCTGTCTCTGCTAGACCTCAGCACTCTTGGTGTCACATTGGCCTGTAGACAGAGAATCAAGATTAGCTTTTTTATTGGTGGTTTCAAGGGGAATTTTTGTCTCGTTAAGAGCTTAGTGAGAAATTCAGGGTTTGGTACCCATCCATCAACTACTAATCTCATTTTTTACTGTTTTAATATAGTCTTTATTGAGCTCATTTTGATTTGTAAGTTAGCAGTGAAGCAAAGATGTTTCCATTTTAACTAGGAGTGCATTTCTTGTAATTCCTAAAAGCATTTTCAGTCACGCACAATGAAATACAATAAATGGCTTTGAGACAATACTATTCCTCCAGTGTAGATGGTAATATACTTTCAAATCAGGAAATTGAACTTAAATAGTACATTTGATCAATATGACAGCAGCAGAGAACAAGTGTAAGCAGATATTAATCAACACAAACTTGGATCCCTGGACCATCCTTCAGTCCAGTTTTACGCAAGTATCTGTTTAAAAATGTAACAGAACAACTGAATAACCTAAAAACATTAAGGAGCTTTTTTTTTTTTTCTTGAATCAGAATCCAGGGTGTTATTTGCCCAACTGTGTGGAAGCAATGCCATATAACAGCTGGCTTCTAGCATTTTAAGATGGATAACTGTCTGGCACTAGCACCTTGAGCACTATCACTTGACTTTTATAAGCCACAGATTCCTCATGGTTTATAAGTAAGATGCCAAGTTTTGCTTTGCCTCTCCCTTACTTAACCCTGGTCCTTTCCATCATTAAAAGGTATTTGTTTGCTTGAAAGAAGTCAGTTTTCTGCTGGAAAAGATGAGCGTTAGGTATGAACGTATTCTAATGCCAGATACTGTGTTGTGGAGTCATGTTACTGGTCTAGCAATCATGGTGGTTAAGCACTTCACATCATTCTCTTGCTTTATGAACTGAAATGCTACTTGTGAAGGGCAGCACTGCCACGAGCTGTGATAGAGCTCTCTAGCACAGGAAAGCCCAATCTAGGCAGCTATGGGACTTGATCACTATTCTGGGATCTCTTCCTGGGTTGTAGTGGTGCCAGAGTAGAAGCAACAGCAGCAAATCTAGTCCAGTTCTCTGCAAATGCAAAAAGAAGCATTCGGCTAATTGGGCGATGACCTGGTTAAACCTATTGGCTTCCTTCCACTCTGACTTGTGTGCCAGTGCATTCCCAGTGCACCCTCTGGGTGGTGCCCTCACTCCCTTTTCTCTCCACACATTGTCCTACTATAGGCTTTATGCCCCTCCAGTCTATCCTTGGCAGCACTAAATAAAGACTCCCGGAGCTGTCTTAACTGCCCTGCTAGACATGTGAACATACAAAAGCTAGACCTTGAGGCCACCTGTGGAACACTTTACAGCAGATGTGTTAGCTTCAACCAGACCATTCTCTTCCTTAGTTTGTTGTTTGGAAGCAACCTCTGGTATAAACTAGAGAACCCCAGAAGAGCCTTTGTTGTGGTAAACTAGGGGTTGCTAATACAGCAGAAAACTTCAGTAAGATGAGGATACAATTGATTTTCGGGCAGATAGGAAGGAGTGAAGGCATGACATAAGAGCTCTTACAGATGCTTTACATCAACTGGACATTCTTTTCCTTGTAGACAACCCTCAGGATTAGGGTATTTTTGCACTGCTGAAGTGGAACCAAGTAGAAGACACTACAAAATCAGGACCTTGGAACTCAGATGTAGTATCACCCTTAAGGCTGTATTTCCTGAACTGCTATTTTTCTTCTCCCCTCCCCTTCCGTTCCCTTTTCTTTTCACAATTCCACCCTAGAATGCAATGGTATTTTAATTAGTGGACATCGG